GAAGCCAAGCAGTGACACGGCATTGGCTCTCGGGCGTTGAGGTGAGGTTATTATCCTGACCTCATCCAGCATTTAATGAGTTAAATACATTAACTGTTAAATACGTGAACATTCAATCTCTTCTGCAAAGGGCTAAAATGATGTTTAATCTCTACCAATATCGTAAAGTCCGGTCACAAAACTTGCTCCGTGAATAGAGGTGTTCTCAGAATCAAAGTTTAGACAGTAATATTTAATAAAATAAAATTTTCCTATCCCATCTTACTAGGTCAGACTGCAAACCCAGCCTAAGCCACAGCCTGGTCAACCTCCACTCTATTCTGGGACCTTTGACTGCTTCAGAAAGACTCTTGTTGGAGAGGTACTGTGTTAGCGTGTCATCTGCGATGCCTGCCAAAACTATCAGTTGTTCCTGTATGTCGCAGCGATGGAATCGTGTGGGAATGTTGCCCCCCAGAGACTGCACAACTTTTGGGTTATCAATTGAATTGGCTCCAATTAAAATTTTTAAGCAGATTACAAAACTTGGGGAATACTTAGCAGCCACATGCTCCAGGTGCATGTCTCTGTTTTGTTAAGAAATGCATTTGGTTCAAAATAGCATGATATTAATATCTGAAGTTATAGGCTGGAGTGAATGTTGGCAGTTGTTTGCTGGCTTTGTTGTTGTAGTCGGTGGAATCTTGCTGTCTTTGGTATTTGGAGTTGTCTCTGGAAATCCTAAAATAGGTAATGACTTTTGTTGATACAAGCAGTACTTTTACTTTCTTCTATAATGTGTTATGCCATCTATGAGAAGGCAGAGGAGCATTAATTAATAGTTTTGGGGTTTTTTTTTTGAGAACAGAGGGTCAGTTATAGTAGTTTTGGTCAGCCTTCTTCAGAAGGTGGACAGTGGTTTTCACTCCTGAATCAGCCATATCATGTGATTGAACTATAGTCTATTTTGTTTTTAGAAAGGCACGCAGCCTTGGTTTAAAGACTTTAAGTGACATAGATTCCAGTTTTTCTGCTTTGTAAGTTTTCCCAGCAGCTATTTACCATTTGGAATCAATGGCTATAAAGCCCAACTGTTTGTTTACTAGTCTGAAGTCTGATTTCTAACCACTGGATCTTGTTAGGTAACGCTGTTAAATGAGAGATCGGCCTCACAGCTGAAATCTACTTTCATTATAGAATTAACAGGTTGTTGTATAACCAAAGTAAATCTTGCTTCCCTAGTCTCTCCCACAAAGTGCTGAAATGGTTTGCTAGCTCTGAATCCCTTGCGGTTTTTAACACCCCTGCTGAAGCACGGACGTCAGAGCTGAACCATAATAGCCTTGTGATGTGAAGTTCAAAAGTAATGCTGCACCTCTACTCCTACTCAATACTCATCAGTTTATATAAGGAAAACTATTAAACCTCTCTGCCAAGGCCTTTTGTTTCCTGCTGCTCATGGGAAGGTTGAGCAGGAGTCTCATCTTTGTCAGCCAGATACAATTTCATTAGAGTCAGTTGTGCCTGTAACCGTACAGACACGTACTGGGATACACTGATTTATTTGGGGGGGAAGGGAAGGGGCAGGCGGACCAGCAAATATTTAATTTGTGCATCTATCCTTCATCTAGAAAGATAACTCTCCTTATTATTAGAAAAAGTTCTGTTCAAAGCCAAGATAAATGAAATAAATGCTACTGCTGGGGACTACATTAGAATTTTTCCATGTGTGTAGTCTGATAGAAGGAAGCATCAGGAATGTAAAGTTGTATGGTGAAAAAGTTTTGACTTGGAGAAGGAAAGAAAAAATAATTTGCTCTTGAACTAGTTCCAAAATGAGTTCATGTGGCGAGTGAAGTAGTTCAGGTTAGTCTCCCTGGCTTTTCTGTTATCTAAAGAGTGAATTCTATTTGGTGTTCTCAGGCTCAGTGTTGGTGTTTTACACTACTGCATTTCATGAGTTATTAATAAAGCACATGTGCGTTTGTGTGTATCTGAGAGAGAAGACTTTTGACATAATCTGTTAGGACTATTACTCAGGTAGCTTTTAACTTAACTTCCTCATACTCAAGGTGTAAGTACAGGATGAACAGTATTAGAACAGAAGGGTATAAGTGGTGCCAGTGTTTTCCAGGAAGGATAGCTTTCCTCTGCAACAGGCCCTGAGCCTCAGCTAAACATGTATAATTGCAAATGAACAATAGACCCTATTATTTCTCTGGTTAATTTGACTGGCTGACTGATACTATCCTGTATTGTAGCCTTTCGCTTCTCAGTAAGTTGAAATGTGTGCCAAGTCTGTGCAAAACCAAGTAATTCTTGTGATAATGTTTCTTGCAGGGAGTCCGAGGCTTATATAGAGGAATGGCAGCTCCTATTATTGGAGTGACACCCATGTTTGCTGTGTGCTTCTTTGGATTTGGCTTGGGAAAAAGACTCCAACAGAGAAAACCTGATGACGTTTTGACGTGAGTTTCTGAGTTAATCAGACAGTTGGGAAAGGCACCTTAAGGCTCTTGCAGCCTGCTGTATTGTCGCACATCGAGTTGTGGTGTAAATTTGTCTCCTCTCCTAGGTTATAAATATAGTTCTAAAAAATAAAACACTTGTGTGTTTTAATGCTCCTGGAAGCGTGGGACTGATTGCACAGGCTAAAAACAGACAGCATGTGGGCAGGTGCTATGCAATTCCCTTTCTACGCAAGAAAGAGCCATTAAGGAACTCATTTTAGATGAGTACAGTGCGAGTTATATAATGATTGCCTGCCAACAGTCTCACTATTAACAGAAACTATGAGAGAAATAAATTCATGGTCAAGCAGTCTTGACAGCATTCACCGTCCTGATTCTCTTTGCCCTGTTAGTTGTGACTCTTGCTGTGTCCTTATGTTAGGATATAATAATAGCCATAGAAACGTTTTATTATTAATTTCCGAAAAGTGGTGTTTATGAGCAGCCCTCCTCTCAGGCATGTCTAACCTCCTGGAAAAGAGATGGAAAGCTAAGAAAACTTTGTGTGGCTTTCTACAAACTAACTTATGCGTGAAGAAAGCCCCCCCACCCATAAAGTACTCCTTTAACTTCTTTGCCGAGTTGTGATTTTTAGCTCTACAGGAACAGAACTGTAGCTTAGCAACATTTTATTCCATTATTTGTGCACTACGTAGCAGCCCTGTCGGAAAGCAGGAGTCCATTGTGTTGAGCCAAGCGTGGTGGGGTGGGGAGGCGCGGTTTCTGTTGGAGCCTTGCCTGCGCAGGGGCCTCCCAGGTGGTGTGAATGCACCTGGCTCTACAGCACCAGCCACTGCCGTGACACAGAGCGAGCTCCCTCTGCTCGGGTTGCTCAGAGGGAGGCAGTGCCGAGGTGCTGGGGCACTGCTGGCTTACCCTCTGGTTTACCACAGTAGCGTCCTCATGCAGACAAGGCGGAAGGGTAAGACCAGGGGAACAGTAAGGGGTGGACAATACAAGGAAACAAATGGGCCGTGGGCTTATTTCCAGCAGCCTAATCACCTTAGTGCCTTGTGTTTTCTACACATCATACCAAAGGGAAGTTTTAAGGAGCAAGCTGGAGAAGGGCAGCGTAGTGTTTTGAGTCTTTATGTAGAACTCTTCTCAAGCAGAGCAGTGGGAGAGAAAGAACAAATAGATGGTGGACCTGTCACTGTGGCCAGCTGTGCTGTACTGCGGGTGCAGACTTGACATGGTGAGATACAGTGTGCTTGGGACGTGAGGCCCAAAATTAAAGGTCAAACTCTTAGCGCCTTGGTTATGGGTCTAGAGGCAGGTAGGATGGCAGTGGTTCCCCATGCTGATTTTGAAGGGAAGTTTTGGAAGGAAGGAGGGAGTTGGAGAGAAACCTGAGGAGCCTGTTCTATCTTTTCTGGGGCTGAATAATCCCAAGATGAGCTAGAAAACTCAAAGCTTAGTTTGAGCAGGAGGTGCACGTGGAGTGGTGAGGGAGGTCTGAATGGTCTGGAAGATTTAATGGGAATTTAAGAGCAAAGAAAGGTCTAAGACTTGGAAAACCTGAATAGAATGCCATCTCTTGGGCAAGTGGAGAGAAGTGGGAGGTGTGGAATTTAGTTAAATTGAGATGTTAGGTCATCTTACTAGGGAAGGTAGCAGGAGGCTGGACATAAAGATAAGTTTGTGGTGCAGAAACTCAGCCTGTTGAAGGGATTTCTGTCATGGAGACTTTGCCACGTGAAAGCAGATGCAGAATGTGTGGGATGAGGGCAGGTTGGTAGGACAGACTTGACGATGGCAGAGGCTGAAGGAATGAGGGACTGAGAGGTTACAGAGAGGAGGCTCCTGGCTGCACAAGCAGGAATACGTGTGGAAGCTGGGGTCACCGAGAAGAGTGTGGGAGACTGGAGGAGGAAGAGACTGTTGGGAATAAAAATGAATGGGGAATGCTGTAACAAAAAACGCAAATACAAGGAATATTAGCAAATACAGTGGATGTGAAGAACTGAGTTATGGTTGCTGTGGGAACCAGCGCTTTGAATCCTAGAGATCTTAAATGTTTAGATCTAATTATGCATTGATGAGGCACTTCTGCACTGATCAAAAGCAGTGGATGCACTTCTAGTTCCACTGCCAGCCATATGTGGAACAGCATAATCTGGTGATACAGGGGTCTTCTCCCTTCATTTCCTATTGCTGTGTTGTGTTAGGGTCTCTTCTGTTTCCTCGGGGCAGATATCCTCAGCTGTTTGCTGCTGGCATGTTGTCGGGAGTGTTCACCACAGTAATCATGGCTCCAGGAGAGAGAATCAAGTGCCTTTTACAGGTAAGGCATTGGATGGTGGTGATGGGAATTTAATTTTAGGGGATCTTGTCTTTCCATACCAGGAACTTCTTTGGTTAGTGTATTTACTCTGTTCTGTTTTTTGACAGGACTGAGACAACTGTCATTTAATGCAACTGTGTCACGAAGAAGCATTACACAAACTCACCATAACAGTCTAAGTACATACAGCATTCATTGCTCTATTCATTTTACAAAGCACAAGCCTTATACTATGTGGCATTATATGAGGCATCGATGGATGCCTCAGTCCACTTCAAAGTATGGAAAAGTCCAGTTTTTCAGAATTAAACTTTTTCTAAAAAAAAAGCAAAACTACTAAATCATAAGGTTCTTTCTTGCATAAAGATTTTCTGTTACCTTGACAGGTTACCAAAATGTAATTGAGGAATGCAGTTCAAAATACATGAAATGGTTTTCTCATGTTCAGGGGACTGTTAGCTCTACACCTCCTCCAGGGTTTTTAAAGTATTGTTGGAAAATGTAAACCTGAACAAATGAAAATACCATCTTTAGCAGAAATGGGAAGCTTTGCTTATTTCAGACTACACTGGACTCAGTATGGTGATGGGTGGTCACATGTTAGTTCTGACAGGCATGATATTATCATGGGAGCTTTTATACACATACAAATTGTTTGAATTCACTGAACTATTTGAAGGCTACTTTTGGTCAGTGCAAGTGTAGAATTACCTAACTGACTTCAGTTGTTTCAAACTTAACACTGGGCAAAAATAAGGGAGAATCTAGCCTCTGTGTGGAACAGTAAACATATCCTCAGCCTGAACGTGAGAGGCCTGTTTGAGGAAGTGATGCAGAGGTTTCATATGCAGGAGTGCCTGTGGAATGAGTATTTGCTCCTTCCTCTCTGGAAACGTGCACGTGGCTTTCTATTAGCTGAATGATTGTTCACCAGCCAGAAACCTTCACTAGTCAGAAACTATCACTTTAATCCTTCAGATCCAGGCAGCTACAGGTGAAACGAAATACAGTGGCTCTTTGGACTGTGCAAAACAGCTGTACCGCGAGGCTGGGATTCGTGGCGTGTACAAGGGGACAGTGCTCACCCTCATGAGAGGTAACTGATAGAGATGTTCTGATGCTGCTTCTGCATGGGGTACTTTCAGATAAGAAGCCTGACATAGTGTCATAGATCTTGCTGTCCCGTTAGCCAATTGGAGATGCTGTGTCACCCTTTTTTCTTTTTTTGCAGTCTGCAGAGCTACTCCAATGCCTCAAAGGGACTGAGAAATAAACATGAGATTCTCAGTGAGTGAGGAAGAGATTAGATGACAAGGATCAGAGGGATATAGGAAGTAATTAAGATCTGAGAAGCCAAGAGGAATGAGACTTCAGGAGAGGAGCAGAGAGAACAAAGAGAAAAGAAAAATACAGAAGTGGGCTTTTTTGGTTTCTTTTCTTTTTTTTTTTTCTTCCTTGGGAGAAGGATTGTGACTGTCTGTGAGTGTTGCCGTATAATGCTGACTGCTTTAAAAGGTGATTGCAGCAGTTATGCTTTCTACCTGCTTGAGTGTGGGTTATTTTGGACTGGGATGTCACGACCCCTCTCACAACAACAACAAAGTAATTGTGCCAGACACTGAATCCTTTATGTGTTTTGGTACTTTGTCCTTTGAAAAGCATTAGCTTGTTCCCTGTACTGGGGCAACGTTTTCCAAGGATAAGCTGAAATTTCTATATTTTGATATCTCAGTTTAGGAATTTGTTCTATCCTCTGCTTCTCATAGTAGTGTAACAGCTAGCAATGAAACTCTGGCAGTGTCCCTAGCCAGAGGCTGGTTCTCCAGTTTAGGCATGAGCTAAGAATGGGCTTTGGGAGTACCTTAAAAAAAACCCCAAAATAAACCTAATCAACTACAAAAAACAACACCAAAATAGAATCATTAGAATGAATAGTATGCAAAACTCTTGAAGTTCCTGAACTGCTCTGATCTGCTCTGCAGCAATTAAGAAAGCTTAGAGCTGTAACAGCCAGCAGGCAGGTTACAGTCTGATTTGAGAGGCTGCTGACAGAAGTGCTCGAGAACAGGTATTTTCCCAGTTCTTGCCTTTAGCACCTGCTGTCCCTGGGAAAGTTCAGGCTCCTCTGTCTAGAGCAACAGAAGATTTTATTTTGTTTGTAGAGGAGGTTCAGAAAAGCAATCTGGATGTACTTAGTGGTGTTGCTGAGCTGGCATGGGGCTGCTGTGCCTCTAGGCTTCATTTTGTTTCCCACTACTCACAGTCTTTGTTGTTTACCCACTAGATGTCCCAGCCAGCGGAATGTACTTCATGACGTACGAATGGCTGAAGAACATTCTGACCCCTGAGGGAAGGAGGTTAGTGAAATCTCAGAGTCATCATTTTTCTGGACTTCCCAGACACTGCCAATTAATCTCCCCAGTTACGAAGAGATTTAGAGCAGTATTATCAAAACAAATTTAAAAAAAAAAGGTCGCTCGTCTTGTGAGTTGAGCTGTTTTGGTCTGGGGTTAACTGACAATTAAAACAGTATTCTGAGTTTCTCTCAGATTCTAGCCTTGGATCTTACTAGACAAGTAAGGAATACTTAAAGTAGGTCTCTTCACTTTCACCCCTGCGTGTGCACAAAGAACTGGGCATTTTTGTTCTTGGGTTTTTTGTTGTGTTTGATCCTCCCCGCCCTCCAGAGCATTTGTGTGTGTGCTGCTGAATGCAAAGATTTGAATCTGGGTGGAGTTAGTACATTTTGCCCACAGGGCTCTCATTCTTGGAAATCTTGCTCAGATACTGCACTCTGTCCATGTCTGCAGCATTGTGCTGCCTTCTGGCTGTCAGCCAGGCTGCCTCTTTAGTTGTCACCTTAGTCAAAACAGATGAGGTTTTACTACTTCTTTTTTTTTTCTTTCTTTTTTTTTTTTTTAATTTTTTCTTTTTCCTTCCACCCCAAACCTGCCACAGTGTGAGTGACCTCAGTGTGCCTAGGATCCTTTTTGCTGGGGGCCTGGCTGGGATCTTCAACTGGGCAGTTGCCATTCCACCAGACGTGCTGAAATCCCGTTTCCAGACTGGTGAGTTGCATGCTAGCTTGTTGCAGTCACACTCAGTGTGGTGCTCCTGGGAATGGGCTGGGCAGTGATGGAAGATGCCACCTGAGCATGGCATCTGGAAGGTAGCATGTCTTGAGCACTGCTTGAGACAAGTACATGAAAAACCCAAGTGTGTTCCTGGTTTTTAGTTGGTTTCCTTGCAAATTTTTGGCAAATCAGGCTGCACTTCTCTGTTTCTGCCGCCCTGCCAATATAATGATCCCGATTTGAGATACCTGTTTTGAAGCCTAAGCATAGAAATCATAACAATAGAACAGCTTGTCACGGCTATTTTGTTACAAATGTAATTCTTTGAGAGGTTTTATTATTTCACTTCAGAATAGTTGTACAAATTGTAGCCTGTGCTATCTGAAATTTATAGTAGCTGGGCATGCCTTGCCGACAGCATTGCTTTTAGACCAGCAGATCTGCTCTTTAATCTGTGGCCTAGTTATAGTGAGGATGGCCGCAGGCCTTGAGCTTCAGCACAGGTTCTTCATTGGTTTCTTTGGGAATCCTAGTCAATTAATATTTTTGTTAAAGCTTCTCATATTCTCTGTCTGTGGACTCAGCTCTTCCACTGGACAGTAACCATTCTTCTTGAGTCACGGATCATGATAATCTAGTGCAGGAAACTTCTTTTCTTTTTCTCTGAATAATGGCTGCTGTGGTTGTTTGATATCATACCAGGGGCTGAGTGTGAAATACATTGCAGCTTCGCACCCTTATTCCACTGATTCCTTATTCCAGTCCCTGATGCTGCTGTATAGATGATGTGCTTTAATGGTGGTTCTGTTTAACTGGGTTGGTTTGTGGAGTACTTGTTCAGAGGGCTGGCAGAGGCAGTACTTTCCAGAGAAGTGTCAGGAGAAGGAAGAACTTGTTCTTTGAATAAAATAACTTTTTAAAAGCACCTCAGCAAATCTCTGTAACCTCAGCATTAAAACAGCCTCTGCTTTTCACTTGAAGTTTGTTGCTATTCTTGGCTGGGGCATGTGATAGGATCGCTTTCTGTTTCTTATAAACAAACTTCATCAATTTTTATATCTGACCTTCCTATTTCCTAATTGCAGCTCTTGGGAGAGCTGTGATCAGCGGCACAAGTAACAGCTCAGACATCCAACCCTGACAAAAGTTATTCTCCTTTCTTCCCTGCCCCCCAATGACTTGATTAGGTAAATTCTTTGTGGTGACGGTGAGCACTTACCTTCTGTTTACTGAGTCTTTAGTAAGGTGTCTTTTTTGTTTGCTTGCTTTTGACTGAAATAGATAATTTTCCCAAGTAGATGTTTTCACAACATAGCTTCAGCAATGTTTGGATTCTGGTGTCACCTAGATGGTATAGCAATATGAACCTGTTGAAAATCCTGTGGTGTTACATATGCCACATTCTTCAGCATTTGCCACACATCTTAGCTAACGTGTTTTGTGTCCCTTTTAGCTCCTCCTGGAAAATACCCAAATGGCTTTAGAGATGTGCTGAGAGAACTTATCAGAGAGGAAGGCATTGCATCTCTTTATAAGGGCTTCACAGCTGTAATGATCAGGGCATTTCCTGCTAACGCGGTAAGTAAATTGCGATTCCAGATGGGTTTTGGGGACCTGGCCACTCAGTGAATATTTGCAGTCTGTAGAGGAGATGACTGGCTGCTTACTGTCGTACCATTTCAGTGAGATTCTTGTCCCTGCAAGTACTTTTGGTTGTTGGTGTCCAGGTTCTAAAAATGTACCTTAATCTAGCGGGAACACCAAGTAAACCTTCCTTTGAAGCTTTGCATGAAAGTCCTTTGTTGACTCATTCTGATAGTATTTCTTGTCTGATCGTACACCTACCAGTGGAAGACAGAAATGTGTGGATAAGTTTGGACTGGCTTCCCCTTCAATAAATAATGAGCCTAGCGGAGCAGAAGTTCTGCCTTTGTGTGGAGGGATACAGTAGAATTCTTGCCTCTGGTCCAAGACCTCTTTTTGTTCTCTTTTTGTTCTTCCACATCAGCCACATCAAGTGTTTATAGTGCTGCATTTCAAAAACCTTGTTTGGAATAGGTTTTTAGAATCCTTATTTGTTCTTTATGTTCTCTCTTTTCTAGGCATGCTTTCTTGGTTTTGAAGTTGCTATGAAGTTTCTTAACTGGATTGCACCAGGTCTATGAAGACTAGGAAGTCCTTGGAAATTAGAGGAGAAGGACGAGAGTGCAAGTCTGCCTCAAAGGAATAAATGAATGATCACTTGAAGTTTCAGGAATGATTGCTTGCCTAATACCTTTTTGCCTTCCTCACATTCTTTCGGTGGTGCTATGTGCCATTCAGAAATGTAAGCTGTAGCTCTGAAACAGAGTTGATGAGGAGTTCGAGGTGATACACCTGTCTTCTGAGCCAATGTACCACAGCAGTAATGCTGCTAACAGACAGCTGTCACTATTACACACACTACCTTAAGTACTTCCTCATGGAAGAAGAGGACACTTCTTAAAATGTAATTCTTTATTTAGTGAAGAAACATGTAGCTGTTAATGCTGAAAAACTTCCTTAAAATAATTGTTTGGCATTGTGTACTTAACTCTCAGGGCATGAGTTAGCAGCTGCACATACTAGTATCTGCAAGCAATGTCAGATAGTATTCTCATCTCTTGTAGTTTTTTAGTTGTGGCTATTTCTATGTTGACAGTGGTTTTAATTTTACATACATATAATGCAACAAATGCAGAACTAAGCAGGGGAGGTCAGAGCTGTGTTTCAGTGGGTTGAGGAGTATTAAAGATGCCTTATCAGATTTTGCACACTGATCTTTTCTGTGGAACTAGGAGGAAAAATGAATTATGCTTAACATTCGTACTAAACTTTACTGAGGCACCCAGTGGGGAAATGTGTTTGATCCTGAACTTTTCTCTGAAATCCCTTTCTGTCCCACTGAAGACATCCCAAATGTGATCTCAAAAGTACAGCATGGTTCATAGCAACCCACAGTATATTTGATTCATCAAATGCTATGTCCTGGGATTCAATCCCTGACCTGTGAAAATTTACAGCACTTCCAAGAACTCAATTTCTCTGACACGAGGGGGATACATGAAGGGGACACTGGCTCTGAAGTCCTGTCTAACTTTATTCTTGCTCCTGTTTCTTGGTTTTCTCTTAATATCATTAAACATAATTTTCATTTGAGAAATGACTAATGCTAAGAAGCAAAAAGCAACTTTAATTTCTTTTGGTTTTAGTGCAGTGTTATTGGAACTCAATAAAGCTAGCTGCTGCTTGGCTAGAATGTGTGCTTCAGTTCCTTTACTTTTTGCATGGTCATGCATGGTTAGTTTTGCAAAAGTTTTCCAATTCTTAATTCTGAGATGTGATTGGGAAATAAGTTGTGCTGTGCTGTCTTTAATTGCTAACCCCTTGCCTTTTAGCTTTTGGGTTTCTCACATGAGCCGTGGAAATGAATGTTCTGCACTTCACATGTTTGTCATACAAGTCCTGTTAGGTGCTGTGTTGTGGCTGCAGCTTTTTAACTATAAAGCCAGACACTAAATAACACATCTTGCTTGTGGAAAGTATTTTATGTTTTCCAGGGAGATGCCTGGGCACAGAGAGAGGGGAGCTTAGGGAAAGCATCTGTCCTGATGCCCCACAGGAAAGGAGGCCGAGAATTTGTCCTTGATCTGGCGTGGTCTGTTGGCCTGTACCATAAGGACACAGTCTTCCACCTTAGCTTTCCAAAGGCAGGGTCAGCCCTGAAAACCTTCCACCCAAAAGCTCTTGCAGAAGCCTTGAATCCCACTTTCCTTCCCAATTCTTTGGAAGGACCAGAAGGGAACCTGCCTTCCCCAGAGTCCACCTCTTGTGTTTTACAGGGTTGGGGTGTGAAACCAATGACGTAGCCCCTGGTGTGGGAAAATCCCAGTCGCTTGGAGCTGCCTCCACGTTCTCGCTGCTGCCTCACCCACCATGGACCTTCCCCATTCCTCGCTGCTCGGCAACCTGCTGCTGCCCCTGCTTCTCAAAGTCACTGCAGCTATGGATGAATGAAATACTTAAAGCATGAACACTGAGTTAATACTGGTTCAGAGAAGTGGTGATTAAAGGATGTTAACCTCTCAAATGGTTTTAAACACAGCTCTAAGTTTACTGAGGCTAAATCCAACCTAGTCTGAAGAGGACCAGGTCTGCTTTTATGGTTCTCTGACCACCAAATGCTATCCTGTACTGCTTTGGTTCCCTAGCTGTTCTGGGCACCTTTCTGACTCCTGTGCTTGCGCTGTGATGCTTAGAAGCAACTTTCAGGTTTAAGTGTTACAAAGCTGAGTTTTTTTCCTTCCCTTTTACTTGTGTGTTCCAGAAATACTGACACTTCTCAGGAGGGATAGACGTGCATCTTCTTTCTTAAAATTCCAGACACTGATGCTTAATGCTGCCTATTCCAGCTGCTCTGTCAACTAATGCATCCTGTTGAGCTCCTAATCTCAGAGAGCTAGGATGAACTGGAGCATAATCATCCTGGTTGTAAATGCTGTTCGAGGTTGGTTTATGATGCAGTTGCCCAGCAGATGGCTGTCTGGGGCTGTCGGCAAGACGGACAAACCTGCAGGTCCAAAGGCAAGGTCAGAGGCAAGGAAGGCAGCACAGCAGCTGCTGCTGGCCGGGCACGGGCTCCGTTTCTGGGAACCACAAGGCCACGGCCTCCGTTTGTGGCAGCTGCAACTTTCCGAGTTGGGCTGCAAAAGTCTCTGTCGGGACAGGCAGGCAGCTGGAAGGCAGGAGCCTCTTCTCCACATCTGTCCTGCTGAGGAAGACCGTGACGCTCCAGGCTTGGTGATGAGCTGTGCGTTGTAGTTAGCGCTCCCTCCCGTCCCTACCCTATTGGTCTGGAGTGCTCCAGTCTGCGAAAAACACTTGAGGCTTGGAAACCAAATCGGGGACTAGTAACGGCCTGGATTCAGTCGCTGGGGTTAAGAGCACAGCTCCCGCATTAGGGCACTGAGGAGCCGTCTCTTAGTCTGCGTGCTGGCCTCTTGCTTGGCGCTCCAGCACTTACCTTGGCTGTGCTGTCACCAGCTCAGGCTCGCTGGCTGTAGCCTTAAGCAGTATCCGCTCTGAAAGACTGAGAAATTCCCTACATTTGCTAATACTTCAGTTGTTACTAGTAACTGTAAACTATCTCCCTTCTGCCAAACTATCCTTTTTAATACTTTTTTTTTTTTAAAAGCATTTTGGATCCTTTTTCCAATTTCAATTATCCCAATTACATTCTCCCTAACCTGAAGTTTTTGCAGAGCTTTGTATTTTGCATGATAAAATTCTGGCTGTTTAACACGCTTGATTTCATTTGGTGCTTTTGGATAAGTAAAATATGGAAGAAGGAAATCAGGAATGAGGGGCTGCTTTCCGAAAACAGTGGTGGGAGGAGAGGAGCTTTGGGAAGGCTGATCAGACACATCTGCTTGTTCAAAAACTGAAACCCAGGCACCCTGGAAATGTTTAAAAAGCTGCTTATGTTTCTCAAGATTCTGCTATACAAGATTTGCCAAATCGTTGCCCTCTGGTGTGTGCAGCCTCAGAATGACAGAGGGTTTTTAACACAGGTACAGTCTCCGGCATTCTGAGGACTCTCTTGCTTTCAGAGGTCGAGATTTGCATTCAAACGTTATTTTCTAATCACCCAGCTTCTTGTGGGAATCGAGGTAGCGTATATACAGGTTAATGGTACACAGCAGCAGCAGGTAAGCTGGGTCTCCGTACCAGCAAAGGATACCCACGACACTTGTCTTTATGCTCCTTGCGCTGATAGTATATGGTTTTGCTATATCAAAATCAGCATAGAGTTCCACAAAATGCTTGTGCTGTACATCTGCCTGGCCCATCCTGCTTTGATGCAAGTGATTTTTCCAGTGGTGAGTCAAGGTGCCTGGAAGTATTCCAGAAGTAATCCATGATACATAAATCTTCCATGCTTGCATTTCAAATCTTCCATGCTTGCATTTCTCTGCCCATTGTGTGCAAGTGGCTTTTGTGTACACTCAGCGTTGCTATATTGACAGAAAGGTCCTTGGAATACCCCTGATGAGTCAGTCTTGATCAAATTTGACTAATTAAAGGAAGCTGCCTGTGGGAGGATTACTACAGACTCTCCAGTTTGGAAAGGACGTCACACGGTAGATCTTACAAATGGTGAGTAATGTGAAAAGGGTGCATTTACCCATATTTCTCACAGTACAAGACATACAGTGTGTCCAGTGAGGTTACCAAGCAATATTTGAAATAAAAATACTTTTTATGTATTGTGTACAATTAAACTCTATAGGTCATTGCCACAGAATGCAAAAGGCTTTAAAAAAAATAATGGAAGAACAGTTCATTGAGAACTACTGAAAACTGGTATGGCTACAAAGTCTTGCACAAGAAGTTCCTGAATTGCAGGTTGATAGGAACTGGGAGGGTGTGCTAGGGAAGTCCCACCACGTGCTTTATTTCTTGTGTTCTTTCCCAGCTGTCAGGCAGAAGAATAGACAGACCTCCGATCTGATCTTTGATAGTTTGGCTGGCGTTCTTCTTATGATATGATGGGCAATATCCTGACTAGTTCTGTGGGGTCTGCACACAGGAGGATGGCCTGGCCATGCACCGTCTCAGTAACAACATACACTAGGATACAGCACCAGTTACGGCTTTGCACCTGCCCGATTGGCCTCTACCAGTTCAGTTTCCCATTTTTACACTGTTTTACTATCTGCTGCCTCTTAGGTAAGAGGACTCCTCTGTCATAGCTTGTTTGTGCAGGTGAGGGACCAGCCTTGTGCACAGCCTGAGGAAATCTGCTTTCACCACTATACGGTTCACAGGATGACAGAGGAGTTGAGGTTGGAAGGCATCTCTGGAGATAGTCCAGTCCAGCCCCCCTACTCCAAGTAGGGTGCACTAGAGCAGGCTGCCCAGGACTGCGTCCAGTCAGGTTTTTAATATCTCCAAGGGTAGAAACTCCACAGCCTCTTGTGGCAACCTGCTCTGGTGTGCAATCACCTTCACAGCAAAACAAGTTTTCTCTTATGTTTATGTGGAATTTCCTGTATTTCAATTTGTGTCCTGTCACTGGACACCACTGAGAAGAGTCTGGCTCCATCTCCTTCTAAAATCCCTCCCATCAGGTATCCTCACACGTTGGTAAGATCCTCCTGGAGCCTTCTCCAGGCTGAACAGTTAGAACTCTCTTGGCCTCTCCTCGTGTTGCAGGTGCTCCAATTCCCTCATCATCTTTGCGCTGGACTGCTCTGGTATGTCCATGTCTCTCTTGTACTGGGGAGCCCAGGACTGGACCCAGGACTCCAGATGTGGCTTCACCAGGGCTGAGTGGAGGGAAAGACCACCTCCCGTGACCTGCTGGCTATGCTCTTCCTAAAGCAGCCCAGCAGGCTGGTGGCTACCTTTGCCACAAGGGCATGTTGGTGGCCCATGCTCAAAATTTTCTCCACCAGAACCCTCATGCCTTTTGCTGCATGGCTTCCCAGATGGTTGGCCCCTCCAGCGTCGACTCATGCATTGGGTTATTCCTCCCCAGGAGCAGGATTTTGTACTTCCCTTTGGCAAACTTCATGTGATTACTGCTGGCACCGCTCTACAG